TTGTGTCACAAAAGTTACTCTGTGGACAATCTAGGCCAGGGCTTTTCAACCTTTACACGGATTGTACCACTTTTAGGACATGACAATATTTGAGTACCACCAGTGCTTAGCAAGGTGTCAAAAAGTTGATGACTTAAAAAGGGGGGGGGTTGGGTTTTACTGATTAGATTAATTTGTTGCCAAAGAAATGACTAGTTTATAGTATTATGGAAAAGTAAAAAGTTGAGGTTCAATGTTAATGCTTCCTTCGACTGCAACAGAGGAAGGCTGTTCTTTTTCCCTTCTCCCCCTCACTTCCCTCCCCTTTTTCCTCCCCACTGTGTCCTACTATTTGCTTTTGTGTTTTTGTATTTTATTCTATAATCTAATAAAATATTCTATAATCTAAAAAAAGGAAAAAAAAGTACCAGTTTTAATTTCTTTGCTAGATCTTCCTTTGCTGAATCACTTTCCCTTTGCACTGACAAATGTATGATGAATTTATCCATGTTTATTAATATGCACCACTACCAGCTAGCTCAGGGGTCTTCAAACTTGGCACTTTGAAGACTTGTAGACTTCAATTCCCAGAATTCCTCAGCCATCATGGCTGGATGAGGAATTCTGGGAGTTGAAGTCCACAGGTCTTAAAGTTGTTACGTTTGTAGATGCCTGAGCTAGCTGGTTGGCCCTTCTTCCTCTCTCCCTTCTGAGGTGTCCTTCCACAGTGTAGTAAGAATGCCCCCTCCAATCCCTTCCCTGTACCCTTAAAGACACAGGAATCAAGTGCAAAGCAAGAAAGGCTCACAAAATAAAGAAACACATAAACTCTGTTTTTTTTCCCCTTTAAGCTGCCTCAGGTGTGTCATGTGTCACAATGTTGCAACCTGGCAATTGCAAAAAGCTTTAGCCTTAAATTAAGCCTGTTTACCTTCAAAGAAAACTTTCTAAAAGCCATAGACAGACTCAAGATAAGGGGGTAAATCTAATTATATTTGTTTAAAGGGATTAAACCTATGGGAGTCAACACTTTGGACTCATTACTAGACTAAAGTATTCCAATAACCAAAGCACACAAACCGAACCTCTAAATTACAAAATGCTGTAAAAACTATACAAAAATCCTTATGGTAACCCAATCAGGCTTCCAGCTGATCCAGAATTAAATAAACCCACCTCCTTTCCAACTTGCCAGCTTTTCATTTCATCAGTGCTGATTGCATTCTCCTGGCTGGAGAAAACGAACCAGAAGACCTTTTCTTCCAGCAACAGCTGCTTCTTCTTCTTTGTCCCTGTTTCCTCCCTGCCTGCTGACCTCTCCTTCTCTTTCCCTGTTGTCTTTTTTCCCATTTCCCGCCCAAATCACTTCCTTTTATAGCTTCTCCTCCCCCCCTTTTCTTCAGTTCACCTCCAGCTTAGCACTGCTTTCCGAAGCGCCAATCAGCTGGACCCCTGCCGGCTCCTGGGGCTTCTGCTGAGCCCAGACAGTCCTGCAGCTGCAGCTGTGTCTCCCTCAGGCTTGGGTCACTTCAGCTCATTCCCCTCTCCCACTACACTTGGCTAGCAATTGTATACCACCTGCTACATGGCAAAGTACCACAGGTGATATGCATACCACTGGTTGAAAAGCCCTGATCTAAGTGCCTTAATGATGATCCTAGGCACAAAGCAGGGTCAGGAAAAGAAATTGGCTCTTCTTCAGTTGATCAAAGAAGACTGCCACCAGATTGCTCCTTCTCCATCTGGTCACCAGGTACTGTTTTGCATAGAGTAAACCTAATTTTTGATCAGGAGGTGTGGTCAAAGCACTCCATTTTCCTGAAATAATAATGATCTATTTTTTTTTAAAATGTGACCTTTAAAAGCACTCTTTTTAAACACCTCACATGTATACACACAAACACACACATACGGATAGTTTTATTACTTTTTTTACAATTACAAACAAGTTTTTTTCAAAAAAATCTGAAACCTCTGAATATTGCTCAGAAAGGATATATACAAATCTTAATGAAACAAACTAAACTAAGATAGACAAAAAAGAAAAACCCTAACTCTAACCCCAACCTGAATTATTCTACACTATTCCAATACATATATAACAACTGCACCTATATAAAGTTTATTGAAACTTGCTTTTTAAATTTCGGGTTTAAACTTTGATCACATAGAACAGTGATGGCAAACCTTCTAGAGACCAAGTGCCCAAAAACTGCCCCACCCCAACCCCCCTCAGCCCATCTGTTCTGCCCCCACTCCCTGCTCCCGCCTGCCCACAGGACCACCCACCACCTCCATGGCCCACCACAGATCATCCAGGTGGCCCTGCAGTGCCATAGCGGCCATGCCCTCCGCCCATACCCCGCAGCATCATCTGTGTGCGACAGGGTGCGAGGACGGAGTCTTGGGGCTGGGGCAATGGCATGTGTGCCCACAGAGAGGGCTCTGAGTGCCCCTCTGGCACATGTGCCATAGGTTCGCCACCACTGACATAGAATCATATTGTCTGGCCTTTCCTTTTTGCCAATAAATTGCCAGTTAAAAAGCACAGAGGTGACCAATTTCACTGAGGCAACCTACAATATCTTGAATTAAGGGCAAAAGATGGAGTCCTGGAATAAAGTAGTAAAGGCCAGCTGCCAAGGCTGGCCGGCTGTGTTCACCAGTTAATTCTAGAAACTCATCAGGTTTTGTCTGGCTGATAAACCTTTCTGTAAAAGGAGATGATATGCGATATTTCTCCAGATGTCTTCTTTGCGACTATCTAGCTTTAAATCATTTATTAAGCAACTTGGCTTTCTTCCATTTAATAATTAGAAAGGGGAGCATTTAAAAAGTTCCTTGTCAGTTCTCCTCTATTTCACAATTTAACTTTAGTGTCACAATCCTCTTAGCCAGAGTGCTGTACCTCTGTTTTTTTTTTTTCCATTCTATCTTGCCTTTTTTGTTTGGTGATGAAAAAAGAAAATTTTCAGTCAAAGAGAAGAAGAGAAACAAAGAAGGAAATATATACGGGGTAGGGGCTGGGGAAAAAAGGAACAGGAAAATACTTTCTGTATTTTGTTCAGCAGTAAAGAGCTTGGCAAAAGAAAGATCAAAACAGACAATGGATGATATTATAGAACCTAGATCAGGGGTTGGCTGGCTCAGGAATTCTGGGAGTTGAAGTCCATGAGTCATAAAAGAGCCGAGGTTGCCTACCCCTGACCTAGATCTTTGCTGATTAGATTTTAATTCACGACTTACAAAGGTCGCCTCCTAACTGAAGCTGGCATAAAGCTCAAAGCATAGGCCTAGCTTTAGTATTCGGTTCCTGAAGTCCAAACTGACCAGAACCTGCTCTGACATTCACCAGATGGGAAAATTTGAGATCTAATGCCACAAATCCTATAATTTTTTTGTCATGGGAATAGTCATCTATCTTCCAAGAAATTGAAAGATTAATATTTCCATGCTAAAAGAATAAACATGCAAACAATCTAAATTGAAGTTACAATCTGAAGTGTCCAATTCAGATGATGGATGGTGAGAAAACCTCAATATATGGAACTATCTCTTCCCAGTCCAGTCACAGAATCTGTTTGGACTGAGTTGAAGTAATGCAGAAGATCTATTAGAATTTGTTTAACTTTGAAAACTGAAGGAGGGAGGGAAAAAGGAAGAAAAGGGGGCGGGGGAGAAAAGCCAAAAGAAAAATAGATTGGAGCAACATTTTAAAGTAATGGTTTTTTAAAAAAGTTATGGGCTAGGTGTGGCCTAGCATCTCTTGTCCATATGGCCTGCTTACAACAGGCCATATCTTGATTATTTATGCATATGATAGACTGACACTAAATTGAAATCTGTGTCATAGGAAAAGAGTGGTTATTTGATGTCTTCAACCTGTGGGACAGACTCCACTGTGCTCCAATTAAAAAATAAAAGGAAAAATGTACACTCTGCCAGAGATGGCCAGAAAGCAAACAATAAATTTAATAAAACTAATGTAAAAGTGAAGTACATGTCTTCAAGGCATTGTTTTCATTAAAGTGAAGATGATTTCCTGCCTTTTTCCAGACAATTTCCCTTCTCCCTTGGCTGACATTTTCTTCTTATTAAAAGAAAACAGAGAATAATGTTTCCAGAAATGTCTACATTCAGAGCAGTGCATAGGCAAACGCTCTGACATGATTCCTGCTGAGATAACTTTCCTTGGTCAATTTTAGAGTGTTCTACATTTCTTATTAATACTACATTTTAAATGGTTTTTTTCATATAAATGTAAATGGGGACAAAGGATTTGAGAAAAGTGTAGGTTATAATATGTATTTGTTAATGAGAAAAATGGAAGAGAACAGCAAGAAAAAAACACACAGCTACAATTAAAAATGACAAGTATAGCTTCTAAAATATATAACAATAAAAGAAAAAGGGCATTTTCATACCCAAAATGAATACTGTAAAGTTCAGGAGGTTGATATCAAATCTACAAAATACATTTAGGCAGTGGTCTTATATATACTTTTCTCTGCTTAAAATTTTCAATATATACTTCAGAATGGTTGTTGGTTCATTACGTGATTGATGTATCTTTAGGGATTGACCATTTCATTTTATGTCGAATTTACAGGCTCTTTATGTAGTAAAAAAGCTCTCCACAAAATAATATTTCATTGCGCATTCATAGGCTACTGTTTTAGAGCAGGTCAACCTATTTTGCCCTATTTAAAAAAAACTATCTTAAATAGGAAGCTGGCATTGTTGTAAACTATCATCATCACTTTTAATAAATAATGGCTTTTAGGAATATGAGCATCTGGCTAGAAAAAGAAAAGAAAAAGGTAAATAATCACCTGGGAGACCAGCAAGGCTGGGGATGAAAATCTTCATCTATTTAGATTATTGTAAATTGATATTTTGGTTCTGCTTTGATTGGCCACGATTGATCAGGGCAGATATTTTGTGTGTCGGCTGTTTCCTTTTTCTGACAACAATTTCATTTATCCACCATATGTTTTCAATGTTTCAGATATATCTATTGGCCACAGTATTATAAATATATCTATTCCTGGAATCCCCATGCAATATTAAGGTACCGTTTCTAAAGTTTGAAATTTGAGTCTATGCATGAGACTCATTCCTCCAAATACACTTGGCGTGCTTAGTTATTCTCTCATTTCTGGTATGTTTGGTATGTAAATGTGAGTTTTTCTTTTTCTTGTAGGTATACCTGGCAACTTATTAAATCAGATAGATAATGTCTTTTTGCTATTTATGAAGTTCCTATGCATAATACACCTGAGTAAGAGTCTCAAAAGTTATCTTAATTATCAGTTTCTGATTATGGCTTTAAGCACCTTTCAAATGTTTCAACTGATTCACCAGCCTTTGCTTGTTTCAAGAAAGGATGTCTCTACATTATACATATAGTTTACTATAGAGAATTTAATAAAAGACTACCTTTGAAAAGTGCTCAGAGGTTCAGATTCTAGGCAAACCAGATTTTATTTGGGGCAAATATATCATATATCATCTATTATAGGTCATATAAATTGCAAACTTTATTATGGTCAGTGACCAGTTTAAAACAAGATACAACAAATCCAATTATGCAAATATAAGATATATTATTCTATATTATTCTTACATTTAATTCAAAAATATTGATCTTTCTGTAGAATTTTGCTTTATTTCGAAATAATAGCAGAAAAGAAAATAGAACCAGCAAACAGAATGTCATTACTAAAAAAAAAAAATAGGCATATTACACAATGGCTATGCTTCAGGAAGGCTAAAATAAAACAGTTTTAGAAAAAGCTTACTATCTAGTTAAAAATTGTACCGGTATGTATAAGATAGAGCACATAAAGTGTGTGTGTGTGTATATCTGTCTGTGTCTATGGGTACTTATGTTACGTGCTGGAACAGCATACATTGAATGACATAATCAAGCTGCTGGCGTTGTGTATAGGAGCACAAGTATGAGAAGCTGGAGAAGTAGAAAGGCCTAAAGGAGGAAGTGGAGTGGATGTAGAAAGTAAAGGCCAAAGTGGTCCCAGTGATGGTAGGAACACCCAGACCTATGACTTCTAAGCTGGAGGAGTGGCTCCAACATATCCCAGCAACAATATCAGAGCTCTGCCCAGAACTGTGCAGTGTTAGGAACAGCTAAGACACCATGCAGACACCTTAAACTCTGAGGCCTCTGGTAGAGGATGCACAACTGAGGAAGATACAGATCAGAGATGAGAATGTTTATTTTTTTTATTTATCTTTTGTTTAATCTATAACAACATATGTACCTTTCACCTTTCTTTTGATATTAAGACAGGGAAATCTGAACTGAATATTTTTTTTTATTTTTAAAAGAGTTACATACAAGAAAAAATAAAACAGAATCCATAGTGCATAATGTCTTTATTAAATATCAATGAAGGCTATGTTGGAAGATAATTGTCTTCCAAATTTTATTAATTCAATGCTGCTTATTTAATTGTCTTAATTTCCAGTTACCTCCTCCATGCCATTTTTCTGATGTCTAGAATTTCTTAACAAAGCTTCTATGTAAGATCACTAGGTTCAGAGCACATAACTTTTATGAATCGTCCAATTTTACATAAGCATTGCAATTGGTTCTGACATTTAAAGCTGCATTGTGGTGTGAATAATCTGTGACCCTTGTCATAATTTCATTTGGTCTTTGCCCTTCATCTCAAAACTCTGCAAGTGTGCAATTCAGATTTCTGGTAAGAGCGATATTCACTCCTGCTGGGTAGCAAAATTGAACAGTGTGTCAGAAAAGGAGAGAGAGAGAGAGAGAGAGAGAGAGAGAGAGAGAGAGAGAGAGAGAGAGAGAGAGAGAGAGAGAGTTTGCTTTGCTAATCTTCATTCATATAAACATTATCTTGCAGTTTACTGTTCCATATTGGCTAGTTTCTGTTTTCTTTAATAGTCTTCCAGATTATTCTGGGAAGCTCACAAGCCAGGCACAAAGGCAATAGCTATTCCCCTACGTTTGTTCCCAAATTCGCTAAAGTTATTTAGGTATGTTACATTGACGATTCTCTTTTGGAGGAGGCTGTCAATATTTAGTTTCTTCTGTTAGCTTTTTCTTACCTAAGCTCTTTCCAGATATATAAACTTCATTTCCCTGAATTCTCAATAATGACCATCAGACTGGACAATTGTAGGAGTTGAAAGATATTCAGGCTCTTGAAAATGGCTGGTTTATAAAATTAGATGTGTTGTGCATAAAGCAATCGGCAATGGCTCCTATGGTGGGGGATAGTGAGAGTTGTTTTTCCACAACTTCTGAAAAACCACAGGTTTTGCCCATTCTTACTGTAATTTGTTGTTCTAATACTGCTCCTGACAATTGCTTGTTTGTTGACCTCTGCTTGTTTGTTCAAATATCTGAAAAGAAGATTCTGTGCAAATAAAACAATGATAGGCATGTGAACTCTTAACACAAGAGGATCCCTGCTTGGCTGCTGATTTCACATTTAACTGAACTTATCTGAAGGAATGATTTTATTCTCCCATTATGTATTCTGCCAACATTCAAGAAAGTCTCGAAGTATGATAGGAAAAAAGGGTGGTTTGGATTTGCAGCATATACTAAGGACTTTATCCTGCATTTAATTTCCATATACTGACATATGAAGAATGGTTGCAGGATTTGGGTATGGCTAGTCTAGGAAAAAGGATTAGGGGTGACATGATAGCAGTATTCCAGTATTTGAGGGGTTGCCATAAAGAAGAAGGGGTCATCTTATTTTCCAAAGTGCCACAGGGTAAGATAAGGAACAATGACAGAAACTAATCAAGCAGAGAAGCAATCTGGAATTAGAATAACAGTGAAAACAATTAACCAATGGAACAGCTTGCCTTCAGAAGTTGTGGATGCTTCTTCAATGGAGTTTTTTTTAGCAAGAGACTGGACAGTCACTTGTCTGAAATGGCATAGGGTCTCCTGCTTGAGCAGGGAGTTGGATTGGAAGACCTCCAAGTTCCCTTCCAAATCTACTCTATTCTGAGTTTCTGAAAGACTGTTATGGGCCTGGGCAGCTGCAGAATTTTGTAAGGTTTCATAAGCAATCATATTTTTCTGGATTAGAACATTACCCATTCTTTCTTGATGTCTTCGTGATCACAGAGTCGGCAGCAGAAGAAAATATTACCTAGAGATTCTATTAATGGAGATTTGATTGAGCAACCACAGGCCATTCTGTTTTCTGATTTACTGCGTCCACAGTGCATGTTTGGACTGCTACACAAGCATTAAACATACTTATCTGACATTTGCAGTGATTACTTAATGTTAAAGTATTTACCACATAATTGGTAACAAATAATATAAGCTGCTGTTATGTTAAATTACATCATGTAATTTGCCGCTTAGTTTTTTTTTATTGTGTATATAACAGCATTTGAAGGTCATGGCATTTTCTTGCTATTACACCATGGATAGATTTTTCACAGAAAATTATAAATCATGAAGTATTTTCATTGCTTTTCAAAAAGAATAATTATATATTTGTATTAGATTGTTTCATTGAATAGGAGGTGAGACTAAAAAAATGCCATCTGAAGACAGTTCTAACAAATATATTTAAAGAACACTGGGGACAAGAGAATCTACTGATATTTTTCATGCTCTGTTTAAAGATAAATATCAGAAATGTTTGTGTCTTGGAAATATAATTAAGATCCTTGGTGATTTCTGAGCTTGGTGGCTTTCTTGCAAACATTTCCTTTACCAAACTATGTAATATTAATGCTAGAAGGGAGAAAACCACCAAACTCATAGAGCACCAAAGACAACACAGTTCAACTCTTCTCTGTACTCCAATTTTGTGAATCTACAAACTCCAAAATTCTTCAGTAGATTATTGATGGTCATATCAACAGAGAATTCTGGGACTCAGAGTCTAGCCATATAGAGGGCATATTTTGAGGAAAGATGGTATTGACAACAAATAATAAAGTCCAACTGTAACTGTAGCCTAAGCCAGTGGTGGCAAACCTATGGCATGGGTGTCAGAGGCGACACTCAGAGCCCTCTCTGTGGGCACACATGCCATTGCCCCAGCCTTGCCTCCCCCCGCAACCCTCTCCTCATCCCCCTGGAGGAGAGTTGCCCCTGAGCGTGGCCAATGCGGAGCAGCACAGCCATGGACATGGCAGCCAGGCAGTGTAGACAAGACTCTGCCCTCACACCCCATCATGCACAATTGATGCTGTGGGGTGTGGGCAGAGGGCGTGGCTGCCATGGTGTTGCTGGGCTGCCTGGGTGATCTGCAGCAGGCCTTGGAGGCGGTGAGCAGGCGTGGTGGGAGCAGAGCAGGGGATGGAGCGGGGGCGGGACCAGTTTTTGGGCACTCGGTCTCTAAAAGGTTCACCATCACTGGCCTAAGCAGTCTAAATATAGAATGTAATATGTATTTTAAATATATTTAGAAGGTAATTATTGTCTTTAATTTTACATGCAATTCTTTTAATTTATAAAATTTCACCTCACATTCTGATTTAGGTGGCATGCGCTCTTTCATGGCACTACTTCATTATTAATCCCTTTTCTTCTGCTCTATGCACATAGAAATACCATTATATTCTTGGTTTCTTCCCTAACCTTCATTTGATGACTGGGTATTTTAACACTCCTGTCTATTTTTGCTTTGTTATGCAGATTTAGTTCTCCTTTACCTGGAAGGTAAATGTGGACAATATGCATTAGCATTCATGATTAATGACTTGCAGTGTAACTTTCCCCCCTTTGTTTAAAACTAATGACCTAAATAATTTCAGCAAACTTGCAGAACTGAATTTTCTATAGTTATTTTTATTGCTGTGATGTAAGCAAGGATTAAGGAATGAATTGTGGAACTGAAAAATAATAGTGAGGAATGATGGCCAAATGTAATCAGTGCCATGCCACTTAAACTTCATGTTCCCTATAAACCCCACTTTGAGATATTCTATTGATCTCAGCATAATTATTGAATTTATAACTCTCTAACAGAAACAAAATACTCCGTAATGATAAGTAAAGGAATAGACATTACATTGAGTTGTTTACTTCCTTCTATACTTCCTGGCTCAAAGATCATCATTTCACCAGGATTTTCTGTCCATAACTGCTTCATTGACTTCTTATAAGTTTATAGTATTTTACCTCCTATGTTCTCCTGGATTCTTTTTAGATTACCTTTGATTTTTCTAAGTAACAGATTTTCTTTAGTTATTTTTGCTTTCTCATGTTTCTAATCATCATCATCATCATCATCATCATCATCATCATCATCTAAGGTTTCGCTTCCTTATTATTAGGCCAATATTTAATACTGGAAGAGAAGGAGCAGCAGCAGGAGAAGCAGGAGCTGGAGCACTATAGAACAGCAGCCCCCAACCTTTTGGACACCAGGGACCAGTTCCATGGAGAAAGGTATGATTTTACATGCTGTCTGTATTCTGCAGATGGGGCTTCGCTTGTTTGCTTTTTTTCTGGCATGTTGCGGCCTGGTGCTGATCTATGGCCCAGGGGTTGGGGACCCCTGCTATAGAAGGTAAGAACAAAATATATCCTGACCTTCTAGAGCAGTGGTTCTCAACCTTTTTAATGCTGCGACCCCCAACCGGTTGTAAGTCGAGGACTACCCAACCAGTCGTAAGTCAAGGACTACTCAACCGGTCATAAGTCGAGGACTTTCCCTGCCCGGGAGCGCCGGGCATGCGTGGTGCCTCCCCCTGCGCCGGCCAAGGCGTAGCTGGCAAGCGGCAGAGACAGAGCAGGCTGACCACTGGCTGGGCCACCAGCTGGCCCAGCCCAAGGGAGGTAAGGCACCTGCCGGACCCCACACATGCCAGCAACCCTCCCTGTGCCCGTCGGCCTCCCACCTCCCACCCCTGGCCCTCTTTTACTTACATTTTTAGTAGTTGCTCAGCAGGGAGGGGTGGAAACTTCCAGACAGCTCGCCTTTGCTGCAGACAACTTGCAGCACCGTTTGCAGAATGGGATTTTTGGCAGGCTCAGCAGGGCAGAGATAGTCTGGACAATTCCTATTGGCTTTTGAAAGCCAATAGAATTAGACTCTATTCAAGAGAATCTATTCTATTGGCTTTCAAAAGCCAATAGAATAAAAGGGAGTAGCACAGCTAAGGAAAAGAGGAAAAAAAATGGCGGACTGCATTGTTTGGCGACCCCCGTCAAATGGTCGTTCGACCCCAAATGGGGTCGCAACCGACAGGTTGAGAACCGCTGTTCTAGAGAGAACTTTCTTTTCTCATCTATATATTTGTGCAAAGCTTTAGATATTTTACTAGGCTGTGCTACATTAAAAAAATGAAATGAAATGGACAATGAAAAAAAAGGATGAAGCAGTGAACAAGACAATAAATATCCAGCATGCATGGTTCAAATGATTTAGCATAACTTATTGGCTCATATAAAATTGAAATATATTTGCTACAATTTGTTTAAATTTTCAATGAGCAAATTGAAGATAGATCTTAGAAATATGACATCTGCAAACAGACTAGCATAAGGTTAAATAAAAATGCTGTTTCAGTCATGCTGTCAGATGCAGCACTTTTACTTGGTGTGCAAATAAAGATACATACCATGAATAAAATGTATCTTTCTGTTTTATCTTATTTGATTCTCCAAATTAATTTTAGCTTAAAAACTGTCCAGCAATAAAGCATGGAATGGAGTTCCCAGAGGTAAGAATGGTGACAATTTATTATCCAGGCGGTCTGTTTCACTTTGGAATGTGGACAGATACATTCCTATTGCTCGTTGAATTTCTTTCCTTCCAGTCCACTGTCTAAATGATTGATGACTTTTATCTTCTTTTCTTTCCTTGATGACCAGGGAACTCTGCACTACTGAGATTGCATTCACAGTTGCCATTGTCATATTCACATATCTCTTGACATCTGAATATCTTGAATGTTTAGGAAAGAATGTTTTCAACATGGCAAGCAAGTCTGGGGCTTTGCAACTGTACTACTCTTTGCCAAGTAGATTTTCTCAACCTAAAGTTTTTTCAGATACATGACTCTGCCAATAAATATGCATGCATGAAACAATGGAGAATGTAAGATAATAAAGAACCCAATTATGGAAAAACAGCTTTATACTATTTTCAAGTAAAGTAGACATGCACTGTCAATCAATCAGTAAGAGAGTGAAAAGTATTGTATGTGGTCTCATGATTAACCTGATCATACCTAGAAGAATCCTCTAATCTTGGATAAGGGGGTGTAATTCTTTAGTGGAGGGAGGCAATCTAATGAGGACCAGAGGCATTATTTCCCATTTCATGTTTAAATGAGGATCCAGAAAATGTCTGTTGAATTTTAATTTGTAACTGACCTTAAATCAGAAGAAAGGTTTATTGTTATCTAGGACTTCAATTTTTTTCCATGTTAGTGTATACTTTCAGTCACTAAAGACATCTTTCTTTGTGTGACATGCATGAATATTACAGTGTATATGCATTCCTTTTCAAAATTCATCAGTATAGGAATTTATGGCATGCAGTACACTTAGTTTCATGGGCATTGCTGCAGGGGTAACAAGGTGTTCAAGTCTCAAAACTATATTTTTTTTACATTCCTTGGGGGAGTGACTGCAACTTCAAAAGTTAGGCAATGAGGTGATGATATCACAGAGATGAGTAGGGGCAGTTTTTTAAAAAAACTAAACACATATAATTGAGTTAAAACTCAAAAAAAAAAAAACCCATCTCTAGTTCTGATTTATGATGGTTAGGGGCAATAATAGTGTTTAGACATTATGAAGTAATTCATTGTCACAATTCATGTAGTTTTATTTTGATTTATTAACCAAACCACCAGGAAAAAAGCCCCAAGATCTAACTACAATTGTCAAAGATCACATCTAAATAGACTACCAAACCTCTGGCTATTTATATAGGTAATGAATCCACATGTCATCTGGGTGCTAATGCTGAGTGAGAAAATGTATATTCTTTATAGAAGTGTGACTGTGAAGTGTTGCATTTTGGAATACTGTTTGTTTATAATATCAGTGACCTCCCATTCATTCAGTGATCCAAACAATTTATAAGTTATATATGCATAAATAAGTAATATGTCCTGGTTTTGCAATGTTACTTCCTAAGTTGTAGATCCTGGTGAGAAAGCAGGTGTTAACCTAGAACTTAAAACTTAATGCATGCTTAATGAGCCAGTGAATAGGAGAAGAGAGCAGATTATTGTCACTGGAGAAATCCTCTGCCTATCCTGAGTTAATAGCTACAACTCAATATCATATTCCTGAACTGAACAATTAATATGTTTTAGTTAGATATTTAACAGTAGACTTGTCCAGATTACTGATATGGCCAGATCCTCAAAGTTGGCCTTCAAATGGGCCAAGTCTAGTCTGTTCTGAATCAGAAGTATGTGTATGTACACACACACACACCCATGACCCAGTTCTTTATCATTAGGCTAATTATAAACTCAGTTCTCAGGCAGATGTATAGTTTAGAGTGGACAAGGAATGCAGAAATTGTTTTTTGAATCATAATCATATTTGTAATGAAAGATAGAAAGCTATTAGTCAACATCAGAAGATTGCAGCTGGAACTGCATCTGCCTGGGCAACCAATGCAGTGTCTTGGGCCAGTGTTGATTAGGTTCTACCAGTTGTAAATTCTGCCTCACCTTATAAACAATGCTGCTGGCATTTAGGGGAGGTGAATGAGAGTGTCCTTTGCGCCCAGCTTACATCTGGATCCTGCAACTGAAACCATTGCAAGATTATAGGTACTTGCAAGGATGCACTTACATAGAGCCTTATGAACTCTGTACAATCTTTGTCAACTGCAAAGGAGCCATGCACTGCCAAGTCAGCCTTGCTTTCAGTGACTGTCTGTTAATCATCTTGACTATCATTGAGCTTTCCAGAGCCTGAGTAGGCAACTTTAGTTTCTGTACTGTTTTTACATCTATGAAATTAGCAGCTGCCCCCAAGTCCACAAAAACAGAAAGTTCCACTTTTTGCCTGCTATCTAAAGTAATAATAATAGAAAATTTAAGAATGCTTGTCTGCTGTTTCCTGACTCCTGGAGAGGGACTGGTAAGAGTTCCCTGATGTGCTGATTGGTGTTGGACACTTGCTAGCTATGTGCTGGATTGATTTACAAGTTTTATCTCTTGTTGCTGTGTCCAACTTTACACTTTATCTGGCTATGTGTCTGGGGCCCTGCTGTAAAAACATAATCTTAAGCTTCTTCCCTTATTTCCTGAAAATAGAGATCTCCTGATTGTTCTGATTTGCATAGATTCTCCTCTACTAGATTCTGAAGATGATATTGGGACAAGCTGTAAGTTTTTTCTCTCTTACTGTTCCTTCCCTTTCAGTCAGGTATCTGTTATTACACAGTGTTGATTTAGCTCTTTCAGGGTGGTACTTGGGATGCCTTTCCTCACCAGTTTATCATTGAGTCCTTGGCCAGCCCTGTGAACTGTTCCGTTAGAGCTAAGTAGTTCCAGCCTACATCACAGCAAACAATTTAAAGTCTGAAATATATGACCTTACTCTTCTCTGAATCTGGTTCTGGATCTCTAGACTAGCAGTGATTCTCTGCATGGGATCACCAAAGTGCCCTTTGAGTTTAAACATGAAGTCCTGATAGTTGCACAGCATCAGATCATTCCCCACAATGAATGGTATTGCCCACTTAGCTCCTACTTCCTTCAGCCAACTCAGCACAAAAATCACTTTGGTATGATCAGTGGGAAATTCTATTTGCCTGCCTGCCATTAACATTTCACCTTGAGTGCTGAATGTCTGGAACTGATCCTGGTCCTCTTTGAACTTCTCTGATAAGCTCTCATAGAAAGGCAAGAGCATTGACTGAGCTGTATTTGTTGTGCTGCCATGGATACCGCCCAGCATGAAGTTAGTTGTAGCATGGCATTCAGCAAATTGGTCATTTGTGCGTCTATTTGCTGCTGATGTTGCAACAACTCTACTGCCAAATGCTTGGCAAATAGCAAAGTTCCATAAGGATCAGAGGCCATTCCTAAAATTCCTCTCCTTGGAAGAGAGTAGTAGACTTACAAGATTGATGTCATCCTTATCAGGTAGACCAGACAGGAAACATGACCAGATAAACAAATTCTGCTTTACTTTAAATCTACATTAACAGAATCTTGCAAGCCTGAAAGCACAATCCAGTTCCATGTTAAGAAGTTACAGAAATCAATCAAATAAATAAATAAATGGAGAATTCGGCTGTAAAGGAGAACCAACTCCTTTACAACCCAAGAAACTAAGGTCCGTTCTGGGCCTCTTGCACTACCCACTGTCCTGTTTGAGCAATGTTCTTCCTTATCTGACTACTCCCTAGTCAGCATCTCTTTGCAGTCTCCCGGAGCCTTTTCCACGTACCACAGAAGTCATGTCTTTGTGTCAGACAGTTACATGATATGATTTTCAATTTTTCTTCTTGATGGAACAGCAGTAAATGCATGAAGAAGTAGAAGTAAAAGAAACTCCTAATAGGTATCCATTTAGATTCATTTTCTTTTTAAGGGAGATGGATGCATGAGGAAAATGTTTTTTTCCCTTTAGCTTGTAATTTGCATCATTTTTTTTTCTTTTATGAGTGTAGTTATTCTTAGCCAGGATGCAAAATGTGCAGCTAGAGTAGTATATAAAATTAAGGTTTCTTTTGGAGTATATGAATCTACAAAAATGCCTGTATTGTGGATAACCAAATAAAGTTAGACATTCCAATCATTAATGTACTATATACATTGTCTGTTATTCTTATTAATGAGCTAATCAGAGATGTGTCCAATTTCTGCTACGTTGAAATGTCCAATTAATCAGCAACAGAGTGGTAAGATGTAACGTTATTATAATTGGTTTTCTTCCTCTGATTTAGCAGCTCTGAGAGGCCAGCATCGGAGATACTCCACATTAAAGCAGGTGATCTTAAAAAAACCCCAATAACAAATATATTTGCCAGTTTAAAGAACTCTATCTCTATAATCTCACTTTGTTTCAGATGATAATATGTCACAACAGTCTGCTAAATAATGATTTGCATTGATATATCACTGGTTTGTTGATATGGAATAATTTAAGGATATTGTTAAAAAAGCAATTAGGTTTATAATTTTCTATTATAAACTATTATAGCAGGAAATTAGCCTAAATAAGATGCGTCTAGATCAGACCTGGACATTTTATGGCCTGTGGGCCACATCCGGCCCTTTGTCTGACCTGCAATGTTGGTGATAACGGCCGGGGAGGGGGTCACCAGTGGTGGGGGGAACAGTATCAGCATTGACTTTCCACAACAGTCCCAATTTCTTATGTGGCCCCTCAGGAAAATTAATGGTCCATCCCGATCTAGATATCAACCAATATGTCCTTGTAAACCCTGGTTTCTTTAAATTAAAAAAAAATTCCTATTTTGTTACTTATTTTTGCATTTATATTTTACCTATGCACTCCACTCTACTGAAATCAATGAGCATTGTATCATTAAGGACCATCATAGACATTTCCCTGCCAAAAGTGTTTATGTGCATATTTTAATTATGAATTTAGAATGTTTATAGGCCTGGATCAATCCTTGACAGATGTACAGTAATTCATGAATCAATCATTACATAATTGGATTATTATAATGTGGACACTTGGATATGATCTGAGAGTTGAGAATGATTAAAAATACTGCAGCAAGCTCGTTGGCTAGACAATCCGACAAAATATTGATAAAGTTGTATTAAAGTTGATATTAAAGCTGTACCTGTTGTCAATCAGCTTCAGGGCTCAATTCAGAGAATGGTTTTCTCCCTTCAAAGTTCTACATAATGCAGTACAAATAAATAATCGACAAAATAAATAATAAATCAAAAACTTCTAGAACAGTAAACACAAATGGGTGTAATTTGGGCATCAATGTTTTTGTCGGTTTATAGGCTGATCTGAATTCTCCATGCTTACCTTGCTGTCCAAAGAATGTTCATTCTCATA